TATATATATATATATATATAATTAATTAATTTAATTTGATATTATTAAATTAAATTAAACTATCAATTAATAGCAAGGATTAAGGTGACAAGCAATAAAATAAAAGAAATTTTGGTTCGTGATCGAGATTAATATAAGGAAAAGATTAAGATAATGAATAGTTTTGATCTAGTTATTATTTAAGTTATTTTGAATTGTTAAATTAATGTTCATTGAGATTGTAAAATATGAATAGTAATTTTTATTGAATAATATCAGATTTTGGCAAGTTCAAGTTATTAAATTGGAGGATTAATATGAGTAAAATTGTAAAAGGCTTGAGGTGAATAATTATATTTTTAAATTTCATCAATTTTTATTATTTCTAAATGTTTGTTTGATTTCATTTATGTCATGTTCTTGTAAATTTAGATTATAATAGATTCTTCATATTGTTAGAAGAGAAAATTATACATATTAAACAATTGCATTATACTTTTCCTAAGAAAAAATCTTATGACTACATGATATGTAGATTCCAGTATATGCGCATACATCAGTTTATTGCATGACCCATGGAGTTAGTAATATTACATTTACTCATCAGTATATAGAAGTAAAGTGTTTCATAAGAAAAATATATATATATAATACGAAGAATGAAATAGTGATTGTTTGTATATACATCAAAGAGAAGTTCATCACCTTATGATACAGGCAGGGGATGCCAACAAACAAGTGCATAGATGTATTCTCTATCACCTCAGACAATTGTGACATTTAGATAACTAACCGCTGTAGCGATGAGAGAATATTAGCTAGGGGCAAGTTGACACATTTCCACCTCAGATAATCGTGTGAATCAGATCATGAACCGTTGTGCCGATAGAATGATATCGATCAGGGGTGTTTTAGGCTATACATTGATGGTGCTCCCAAGACAAATATGAATGTTACGGGTATGAAATAAAAAAAAAAGTTATTGCATATCTAAAGTTTGGATTATTTTTATTAAGAAAAGAACATGATTATATATTTGATTATATATAATTTTCTAGAAAGAAACATGAAAGATCAACATAAATATTATTTTCTTTTTTTTGGGTTGATGTAATTTAAAAGTGTGATTGCTACTAGGTTATTTTTAGATAATTCATTATTTTGCTTTAATATTTTTTAAATAAGATAAATACTAGAGAAGCAAATGTTTATAGAAGAATAGGTCAACAAATAGAAAAGATAAAACTTCAACTTGTTAATAAATTATATTCTTTAATGATCCTTTAATGAATATTTGAATATTAAATTGTTAGAGATAGAATTAGAATAACTGAAAAATTAAATTCTATTGTATGATCGTTTGTCTCTATCTTGATTAACTTCAAAGGCTCGACTTGGATCATGATAAAAGTGGTATCAGAGATAAAGTTTAGATCATCCAACATGAATTTTAATGAAAGAGAGAATATGATGATTCCAATAAAGAATCTAATTATTCATTACTATGTGTGTGTGTTTGTTTATATATATATATATATTTTTTATTTTTTTGAAAAAACTTAAGGGCTAATATATTAAAGATAAAAATACAGATATGTTTGTATGGGTGGGCCTAAACACCCAACCCATACGGTACAACACACATAAAAAAAAGTAAAAGATTGGTACATATAGAAATAAAAGAAAAAAAATCAAAAAAAAAAAAAAAACCCCCAGTCGAAAAAAAAAGTAAAAGATGGGTACATATAGAAATAAAAGAAAAAAATCAAAAAAACCACCCAGTCGCTGAAAAAGTGTGGGTCATCCCAATCTAGACTTGTCTCTGGCTCTAGTTCTCGGTAGGGATCCAGCTAGCAGATTGGTAAGGTGTTGACCATTACTCGTAGTAACCAAAGTATCATCCATAAGACTCCTAAGCTCTAGTAGATCTCCATTCTTCTTCTTCCTCCTGGAAGGGTAAACCCGTCATTCCTCCTCCGGAGAATCAGCCTGATGGGGTAGAGCTGAAGAAATACCAACAGTAGTACCCACAGTAGGTTCTGGAATATGTGAAGTATGAGTTCCCGTTACACCGGATACTTCTTGAAGAATTGGAGCTGTGAGGCTCTCCTGATTATCAGTCTGAACACCATTTATAGGTAAGAGTCCATCAATATTGTTTTGTATG